TTTGTAATTGAATTGCATTTTAATTAAAACTTTTATTCAAAACGTTATCGCAATGTGTTATAAATGTGTATAAAAAATGACAAATAAATGATTATTTTGTGAAATTAATTGTAAAACATAGAGATTTGCATTAATCCGTCTGACCTCAAGGTATTATACTTGAGACCCGAGTATAGAAATCAATAGTAAGCACTCAATGATGATACTGGAGTCGACCTCAAGATTCCCAGGTAATGGCCGTATATGAGATAACTAGTAACTTCATTAATAGACTTAGATTTATAATAAAGGAATTGATTGTATAATACAATTAAACTTAACATTTTGATGACTAATCAAATACTGTATGCTAGCATCCTGTTAACCAATTAGCAGTTTGCTGTTGAGATAAGAATATGATTTCTGGTCATTAAGATTAAATCCTTTTGAATATCCTTTACATCATTCATGCAAATATAAACTTTTCATTTATTAAGTAATAATTCATATATTCATAGTCATCAGACATATTACAGTAGTGACTAACTTATAAAAGATTGTTAAAAGTGATATAAAAATTTATTTAACAAAATAATTTGGAGTATTATATAAGAATAAAATGAATTTATTTGACAAAATTAAGTTCAAATTTGTTGCAATAATTAACACTATGTTATTCATAATGGTCTGTAAGTATTGCTAATTGACAACACATAAGCAAATGTTGTATTAATGTGTTTGTGATTGGATTGAGTGAAACGGTGGTCAGTCTTATGTGAAGGCGGAGGTCAGTGCGATGAGGGATGGGATCAATTTGGTGATAAATGTTTTAAGTACCACAATGACATGGTTGGTGCTAATTTCCACGACGCTATGACTGTCTGCGAGTACTTCTATGGCGCCACTCTTGTCACCATTCATTCGGTCCAAGAGTTTGATTTCATTAACAAAATGGTTTTCGAGGAAAAACACGCCAAACATGGGGTTTGGATCGGTTTGATCCGTGTCTCCAATGAATCGTTTGTCTGGTTTGACAGAAGTCCTCTTAATTACACCAATTGGGGTCAGTTTTGCAGTAATACATACAGTACTACTATCCCTCGTTTTCACACCTCCATAAACATAACATTAGTTTAACGGTATTTTTTGATACAAATTTGTAGCAAAGAATATAATTATTAGTCAACTGTTAGTAACTTATTATACTTGAACATTTCTACATAATTATACTCGTTGTTTATATCGTATAAATGTACATACTGTATAAAGTACTGTACTTACTTGTTAGGGCGTACTGGATACTATATATGAGGAATACAACAGAAAAATTCTAATAAAATATAACTTTTATTATTAATGTTAATTCATAAATGTTAGAATAAATGCCGTGAATTGCTATATTGTAGGTCCTAATGAGCCAAACAACTTGTTTTCAAAGAACTACTGCACTGTACTGGGTGATGCGACAGCCGTTAGGGGCAAGTGGTATGACGTGGGCTGTACCTCAACCTATCTGGTCCTATGCCAGAAATATCTGCACCACAATACAGACAATAAGGGCATCAACCAAACATCTAACGGCATATCAATTGCTGATCAAATTAATATGATGTTAGGCGATGAGGAAAGTGCTAACAATCGCTTTATTTATAAACAGTTGAATGCATTGGCATTTAAAACGAATGCTTTCATTATTCTAAATGTAATTCTAATCACCATATTATTTGTGATTTTTGTGCTTTTCATAGTTAAATATAATTATCGGTCTGTATTCATAAGACGTAAACACCAAACAAATGACAATTTCTCTCTATTTGCTAATAATTCTGATATAATTTCTGACAATATATCCGTTTAAGTTCCCTTTACTTAGTCTTATACTCTGTTATAAATGTGTTTAAAAATGATAAATCAATGAATAATTTGTAAAATTGATTATAAAACAAGGATTCACATTAAATACACCATTTAATAAATGCATTCATTTCCCTAAACCTCAGTGAATACCACACAACCCCTGAGGGGAGAAGTTGTGGTTCACATTCAGATACTGGTGTGAATGGTATGGATTGTCTTGTAATACAGGTATCTGATCCGAATGATCAGTGTTCAAAATGTTTCAAATTTTTATGTAAATTTTTCTCATAAAATTAAATCCTTTTCAACGATTTATAGACTATTTGTTATTTGATTTATTATTTTGAGACAACTTTTGGTTGAGAAATGAAGAATTGCTTTCATTTTACAAAACATTTATTGGAAAATAAGATACAATTATAATAGAAATAATTACATAACAAATAAAATATACAAACTCAGGCCTACCCCTACCACCCTTCCACTGTAGGCCTCCCTTTCCTAAGACATAAAAGTGAAGTCAAACACAACTGTCTTCTAGATATTCATCCACTTCTGGAGACAACACTTCCACTCGAAGAGCACAAGTCATGCGATATGTGTTGAGACAGTGGTTGGGATGGTATGCGAAGTAAAGAGTGGGAGGACTGTCCTCTATCAATGCTTGCACTCACGTGCCATACGGTCACAGCATTTGTGTTTAAGCGCTAAACCATTGGTTTGAATGCCAGTCACAGACAGACAGTGAGTCCATTGACAACATAAACATTGCGTTAGTATTAAATCAATCCAATAGTTCACTGATTATGTGGTCCATTGAACGCCATATTTGGACAAAAGTTGTGGTTATTATTGAGTTATAAGTGTTGAGTGAATGTAAGTGTTGTTGTGATTGCATTGCAAACTGTGAATCACTGTTTGAAAACACGGTTTGATTTGTGCATTCATTTGATGACTAATTGGTGTCTCATTTGATTTGTGAGTCTATTGTTGGTGTCATTGCACTCACAGACAGACCGATACTGACATGTGTTAGGCTTTCAGTGAAAGCAAACATTGCGTTAGTTTTAAGTCTATTGTCTCTCCAAACAGTCCTATGATTACAATTAGTTGCCAATTGAAAGCCGTATTTAAGACACGAGTTGTGGTCAATAGTGAGACACAAACTCATTGCACGTCAAAGTGTTGCCCAAACAACCAGTGAATCACTTGTTGTCCATTCATTTGATTCATTGGTGTTTTCATTGCATTTCCCAGTGATTAGTATCTGATAGTCATCGGCAGCGATGGTGAACACGGAAGACACGGACAAAAGGCAATCGGATGGCTCTCTGGAGCGGTCATCGCCGGACCAGTTGGTGGAGTGGGACGAAGAGACGGGTGAATACGAAGTGGACACCGATGTGAGCGTCAGACCCATCCGTTTCGCTCAACAGGATCTCACGTAACCACTCATTGCCATCATATATGTGTTGAATGTGTGACCAGTTGTGGTGATATGTCTGCAGCGATATGGCCACCGACAAGGGCTTCGAGTTCGAGACGGCCGATGAGGTGACGGAAGCGGAAAAGGATGAGTTGGACGCCCGACACCACTACTGGACCAGAGAGCAGATGATGTCCTACTTGGAAGTGAGCCCCAAACCCGTGGAAGACCTGTGCGAACAGCCGGATCTCTACGACGAGCGCATCAAATGCATGGAACCGCTGGTGAAGGACGGCGTGTACAAGAAGCTGGTGCGCAGGGGGGCCGGGGATGTGGTGACTGTGGACAGCGCCGTACTCTATAACCTGAACGCCTTCCTCGAGGGCACGGACGAGCCGTTCGACTCGACATGGCTCAGGGGTCGCCCGAACTTACACCGGCTCTCCTACGACACCATACTTCCCGGCATTTGCGCGGCGCTGATGTCGATGCGAAGGGGCGAGCGCTCGGAGTTTATGGTACGCCCGCACATGGCGTACCTCGAGATGGGTTGCCCGCCGAGGATACCGGAGAACGCGACCATTCTGTACATCATTGAAGTGATCAAAGTGTTCGAAGAGGGAACGTTAGCCCACTTGGAGACCCTGTCGTTCGAGGAGAGGGCCAACATACCGTTCCCGGAGACACTGGCGCTGTGCGATGCGGAACGCAAGTCTGCCAGCGGTTTCTTCGTGGATAAGCGCTACAGAGAGGCTGCGTTCAGATACCGGCGCGCTATCAGGTGTCTGGAAGGCATGACATGGAAGTCGATGGAGGATAAGGGTAAGGCGGATGAGCTGCTGCTGAAACTGTACGTCAATATCGCCAACACGTACAACAAGTTCCAGAAGCCCTTCAACGCGATGTCGAACTGCAAGAAGGCGTTGGCCATCGACGCCAAGTGTGTGAAAGCCCTCTATCAGTACGGTTTGGCCAAAATGGCGAACGCCGACTACTCGGACGCGGAACGGTATCTCAAGCAGGCGTTGCACTTGAAGCCCAACAATCGCGAAATAAAGGAGGCGCTCGTAAGACTGGATCAGCGCATGAATGGCGAGAGAAAGCTGAAGGACGAGCTCTACCGCCGAATGGGATCCATGTTTGACAAGAAGTAGGAGTTTGTTATGAATCGCAAAGTTATTGATGTTTTTCTATGATTAAGATTTTGCTATATTTTCTAATTATGTGTTCATTTGTGTGAGAATTATGATGTTATTTGGATTAAGAGTTGATTTTATGAGAGATTGTGTGGAATATCAGTTTATACGGTATATAACTACTGCCATTCATTACTGCCATTATTTTTCATACATTTATAATTGTATTACATTTGCACTAATATTGATACTGATTACAATGTTTTTCAATAAGTGTTTTATTTTCATATATAAAAGCATTAAAAATATATAATTAATACAAAAGTCTAATTAAAACATACTGTAAGAATTCATATAAAAAATACTTATGATTAATAAAATGTTGATTTTCATGATTGTAATTAAAGTTGTTTGTAAATAAATAAAATAATTTATGAGGTGTTATAACTTAAAATTGATAAGTAATCAATCAAATTCTTAACTAATAATGATTGTGTAAATCAGTTGATGTATTTGGTGAACACAAATTGGTACTAAATGTTGTAGTGTTTGGCACATTACCACCATTCGTTGGCGGGAACCTTTTCTGAACTTTAACTAAGAACTTAACGTTAATTTTAGCCGGGTCTTTAACCAAATATGAGTTATAATTGAGACTTTTTTCCTTTCCTTTATGATTGATATACGTAACAAAGCGACCCCTCTCAAATTGTGCCTTCCAAACGCCAACACTGGTTCCCTTTTGAATACACGTATATCGTGTGGGCATATCGTATTTGCCCATAAGCTGTACGCACGACACACCCTGAGGGATCCTCTTGAGCTCATTCTTTGAGTAGACTTCATATCTAACCGGAGATATTATACAATTAATTCATAGAATATAATAACAGAATTGAGTGAAACATACAGTTTGTGGCCGATGTCCACTTCGCACACCAATAGCCATACAATCTCCGCGTCCACTGTGTAGTCGTTGTCTTCATACACTTCATCGTCCTCTTCATTGTCAACAATTTCATCAGATTTGGTAAACTTCTCGGCAAACGCGGCCACATCAGTGAAATAGATACCGTTCCCATACCGATGGCCTGTAGTCTGAGCGCCGGAATCTAAACTCATGCCGTGAGCTATAATATCGACCAAATTGGTGACACGTGTGCCGTGCCATAAGTGCTTCAAATTGGGTTTCTGTGATCTAAACCTTTGATCCGATTCGTGGCCATCAAAGCGGAATAACTTCTTAATGAACGGCATATAACCCGCGAGTCTATTACTCGGTATAATGAGTTGTTCAATGAATTTGTAATCCTTATCATTTTTGTCCAGTAATGTTATCCTAGTGTTGAGTTTGGCGTAAAGATAATCAATTGGTTTATAAAGGGGACCGAATGGTTGGTGTCGGAGTTGGGTGTCACCGATCAAGTCATACGTGATTTTCAGGTTCAGCAAATCATTCAATAAATCAAACTTTCGACGGATTAACTCATATGTGTTGATCACTTCGGTGGTGATGTGCGGAATATTCTGGTAGAATAGGTTGCTATTATGCTCAATATCTGTGGCATTAGCTACTGGATTATGAACCAGGTCATGCAATACTTGTAAATATTGCCAAGAATCCTTAATAGCTGCCTGCCTTATGATTCCTAATGGAACTTTATCCAGGTCAAAATTCTCTATTTTGCATTTAATTATGAATTGCTTGAGCATATTTCTAAAATCAAATATCGTGAGTAACATTCGGTGTACTTCTGTCTCAACCTCTGGAGACCTTTCCCTCAAATTGAATTGTCGAGTCATTTGTGTCATTCTCTCGATGTATTTGATGTCAACCACTGAATACTTGTACGGATTCTGTTTAAACAGCTCTTTACTCCAGTTTTCCCAAACATTGTTAGTCTTATCAAAGAATTTTTGTTTAAATTCTTGAATGGCATTCACTTTATTGATGTGGTGGTGCACTACACATCCAGTTGCCGATCCCCCGATAGTACCCCACGATAGCCACACACTATAATACTTGGCGGCAATGGGCGGGTTGTACAGGAGTTGCAAATTATAGAAATAATTTTTATTACCAAACAGTTTAACGTTAGCTAACGTAGCGCTATAACTGCCGGTCCAGTCACGCAACACTTCATAGCAGCCTTTGTCGAGTGGACAGTTAGTGTCCACTACTTCACCCCCTTTCAATACCTTATGTGGCCTAACACTGGGCAACGGCGACTCTTCATTTTCCCCAACTCTTTGGATCAAATCCTCAATGCGATACAACTCCGAGTCCTGTATGTCATCCGTGTCCATAAAGTCTAACTCCCTATCCCTGTTGTTTGCGTCGATGTCCCCAATATCTGATTCGGTGCCATCCGTGTCTTCATCATCCATATAAATGCCTGCATTAGTGTTCATAACTTGTGATCCGGCAACAGGTCTTTGGTAGCTCTTCATGGCGTCCGTGAGCGCCGGTATATAAATCCTATCCCTGGGTTCGCATCGATACTCCTTAAGGAAAGAGTACTTTTCGGTCAACTTCACGGGCACTACGAAGTGTGTGCGGATGGGCTGTAGAGTGAAGTAATCGCATTCAAGTGTTGTAGTCTTGGAGCCCATCGAACAGATATAACCACACCGTCTGAACACCAACTGTCCCCCATCGGAGACCTCTGTATTGCATTGGGAACAGGTCTGGGGTACACCGAAAGTCATGGCGTCTAAAATTGTGTACACTCTCGAGAATTTAGATTTAGCCACTCGTAAGGTGTTTGTGTCCATAAGTAGCAACAAGTCTTCCCTTTTCATTTGATTCAATGCACGGAAATGTCTGTACAATCGCTTTGACTGTTCCTGGAGTGCCGCGTCTGCCCAGTCGTCGGGTATGAGCCGACCATTTCCGTGGCTAAGGATGTGGCCAATGATCTCCATTTGATCCCTATGCTTGAGACGAGAGAGGCGGTCGATGTCATCCACTTTAATGTCTTTGGATTCGCCGTATATATCGAAGAAGCATTGGATGTGATGTCTCCAGTATTCCGTGTATTGGTCTCTATTGATCACAATAGCTATGCGCACAGTATTTACAGGGATTGGATGACCACATGTCTTACAGGTGGAGGTTTTACGGGCGACATACTCGGCCCGGTATTTGCCCTGTTGGCGCAGGTAATGGCCATAGGATTGGGGATAGGATTGGGGCGCTGATTGCGAGGACATGGCTTATTCTGTTCACTAACTTATATGATGTCTGATAAATGACAAATTATAGACGCAATTAATTTTGATAAAATCAATTGCAATGCATATGAATTGAATGCTTAAATACTGACTATAAATGACACGCAAGTGTACGGCTATTGAAAACAATTCACGTGTTGTTTGTCTTATGATTTTGTAGATAATCTCAAAACTACAGTAGTTTCTGTAGTTACTGTAGTTTCAAAAGTTGTGTCAAAACTTTGTGCCAATCGTTGAGTGAGTGATTGCCTCACAGATAATGTGTTGTCGTTTTGAACGCAAACTCTAACTAAAAGTTTTTGAATACACGAGATTTGCTTGTTTTTACATAACTATAATTGAACACAACATTCATTGAATTGCCTTTTTATTTCAATACTGTATAAACTTATTGACAAATAATGACAACGTTACAACTAAATTCATTGTACTACATGAAAATCACATGGATAATATTAAAATATACTTACTATTAAAATACACACAGTATGCAGGTATTAATAATAATGCATCGGGATGTAGGAGCCTGTATTCATTTTATGGCCCAAGTTCCGAAAGTTGCCCGGACCGGAGGACAAAATGGCGGGTATATATGTGAAGCTTAGGTCATAAGGAACAAAAAATGTCCTGTTCATTTTTTTCTCAAACCAACGGTTACCGAGATAATCGGGTCAGAAGTTGCCATTGAAATCCATTGTAAAAACACAAGTTTTCACCAATTCAAACTAAGCTGACCAACTATCAGAATTTACCCAACCAACCTAACCTAACCAAATAACTAAACCTACCCTAACCAACCAACCTAACCAAAAATAGGTAAAATAATACTAAAATTCATATATAGGGTCGCTCCGCTCCGTAATATGCAACCTAACCTTACCGACTGAACCGTTTCAAATAGAAATTCTATACATTTTCAATGGCAACTTCTGACCCGATTATCACGGTAACCGTTAATTATTAATTTTTTTAGTATTACCTAATAAATGAAATTTATTTTATATAAGTAATGAACAATACAGTAAAAACTTAAAAAACACATTTAAATTAAAAACTATAAAACTACATTGTTAACATTTTTTACAAAAGATTTCAAATGACATAAAAGTGAAGTTCGAGTGAAAGTCAAACACATCTGTCTTCTAGATATTCATCCACTTCTGGAGACAACACTTCCACTCGAAGAGCACAAGTCATGCGATATGTGTTGAGACAGTGGTTGGGATGGTATGCGAAGTAAAGAGTGGGAGGACTGTCCTCTACTCTACTTTTACGTCACTTCGAGTATAGCTTTTGAGTTCTTCGAAGGAATGGGACGTCAAAGAGGACGACATCAAAGTGTGTCCCTCGAGAGGAAGGGGTGGGTATGCGGTCAGTGGTGTTAGGATTCACAGGTAGTCCCAGAGGCCACTGGTTTCTGGTACTGGGAGTCTGTGTTAGTCCGACTGACCGCATACCCACCCCTTCCTCTCGAGGGACACACTTTGATGTCGTCCTCTTTGACG